AAAAAAAAAATGATAATAATAATAATAAATAAATAAAAATAAGATGAAATAAAAGGGGAAACACCACTACTTTTCGACTTATAACTCTTCACGCAATTACTGTAACGACATCGCAAAACATGTATAACTTCATTTAGCGTTTTTTGTCACTGCAGAGTACGTAGCTAGTCGTTCTAAAAGATGCAAAAGACGTACTACGACCGGGAAAAAAAGTCAGGAGGTAGTAAAATCAGTTCGTACCAAAGCACTTTCGAAAAATAATATAAAAACATAATGAATACTTAACGGCTTACCGTCTTCTACACGGAAAGTGGCGTTATTACAAAAAAGTGCTGGACAAAGTGAAACCAGAGGGCTGAAATAAAGGTGAAGAAATCCTAGAAAATGAACTATGTCAATCAGATTTGCGAAGCGACTGCAACCTCACAAATAAGCCTTTCAAACATCCAATAATTCAAGAAGTCAAATGCCAAATGACTGTATAGGTATAGAACATTTGCAGAGCTTTGATTGATCGACACCTCGGCTGCAATCGTGAATACGAAGACGACCGTTTAAAAGAAATTAATGATAGCTGCGGTATCCTGAAGGCTTATTATTATATATATTATTATTACAACTCCCAGGTATCACTATGTTTCCTAGACAGTGCAAAGCATTAAAAGAAAGGAAGGAACTAAACTAAAAGTAATGCACTGTTCGAGTGACACGTGACTCAATATAGCCTTATATCTACAGAACCTGAACGTTTCTGTTTCCAGGAGACGCCTACATCGAGTAATTAGATGCAGAAAGAAGAGAAAGATAGACAGGCATAAAACATGTGTCTAATGAAACATGAAGAACTAAAGAGAATGAATTTATTTCAAAAAGCTAACGTGAAAAGTTTTTTGAACAAGTTCCACCTCCGGCTCCTAGCTCACATGGAAGACCTACTGTGCCGCATTGCTCACCGTTCGCAAGTTTGCTGGATGGTCATGATATCCGAGCAACAGAACAGAGGCGAAGACCATCACTAGAATATGAGCTTCAAGTTGTACAAAAACTCGCTTCCCAAACCTACAAGCAGCATGGAGCAAATAATTAGCAGTAGCAATATCCTTCTCCTAATCGGCAACGCCCTCTACCGCTCGAAACAATTATATCTGATCCCAACTTCAATGGATTAGAAGGAAGTAATGTCGACACTCCTGCAGGAAAAAGACATCGTTTCCGAAACATTCTGGATAAATAAAATGATGTTCCAGAACATTCAAACACACCGCTGGAGGGGGACGTGAGGAAGAGGGATGAGTTGCAAGAGTAATTCAATCAAAAGGCCTTTTGCAATAATGCGATCTAGACCTTTTAATTACTTTCCTCTCACTGCCAACTTTTGTCCACAGAGCCCTTCTGGCGCTGCTTGAAAATGTACAGAATCAACATCTTCACAAAGCTGAAAAGTTTCGAAACCCCACACCTCACGCCAACTGTATTCTGACGGTTTAAGGAACGAAAAACAAAAAAAAAAAAAAAAACAATCAGTCTTTTTTTCGAGCAATAAAAACTCTCTAACACATTCTCTCAAGCCGGTCCGAGTACTGCCGTCCAGGCCAAAAACTTCACGTGTGCGAAACCGGACCTTCGAAACCTGCAGTCCTAGTGGAACCCGAAGTCAATTGAAATGACGGCAGAGATAACAAGGAAATTGCGGTTTATTGCGATGAGACAAATACAGGCCACATTTGGAAATTACTTTTTAACTGCAGGTAGTCCAGCAGTTGCAAGTAAAATTGTATTCATAAAAAAATGGAAAAGTAATATGCGGAATAATTGAGACACAAAAAAAAAAAATTGAATTTTCTCTGTAGATAGTGAACTTAAACTAGATATTAGATAGAAAGAAATGTTAACCATACGCAATCGGAACCTGTGCCCTCATCTAAACAAAAAAATTTTCAAACGCTGGTCGACTTACTCGTACAAAATCACTTTGCAAACTTGATACACAAACTTCACATGACAGAAGAACAAAAGAAATGTTGCGGAAAACAGACTTAGCTACATGAGTAACCCAGAAAGAGGGAAAAAGGACCTCTCAAACCACACCCTAGCAAAAAACATACCGACATCGTTGGAACCCAAAAAATTTAACAAACGCGGCCACAATACACGGTGACATTGGTAGCACAACAGAATGTAACAGAGTTTAAGAATAAGTCACGATAGAATACAAACTGCCACACCAATCTTACAAAATCCATGAAAAAGCCACAAGTCCCATAAAAAGGAAAAAAAAGCTGCAAAAAAACCACTTTTTTAGCCTTTTCGTTCATTCCCAGGTTACACTTGAACAACTTCACCGTATGCTCAATTAAAACATAAAAATAAAAAATAAACATAAAAATCAATTACAATAGCACTACATGAACAGATTTTCTGCGACGCAGTGCACCGCATTCAATATTCAAATGTTAAAGTTAAAACTATAATAAGCATTGAAACACTCAGCATCATAAGTACAAAATTAGATACGGCTCATTTAATCAGAATCGGCCCAAGAATCAAGGTCCCTGGGCAATGCGAGCCGTATTACAAAAAGACGGACAATTTAATATGTTACAAAAAGACAAACTGCTTAATAAACTAAAAATAAAAAATTTGAAGACTTAAAAACGACAGCACACAGAGATAATGAGTAAAAAATTTCAAAAACATTTCGAAAAAACGCCCTGAGGTCATAGAAACGCCAAAAAAAGGATTCCAGCACGTACCAGTTTTTCGAGCAGAAAACAACATCCATGAACGCAATCGCACCTCACTGACTGTTCTTCAACAACAAATTATATTCACAAGTCATAAAAATGATAGAACGCTTCACACCCATCACGAAAATTCAGCACGACTTATCAAGAACTGAACCAGTTCAAAACCGAAACGATCATAGGCTTCTGCAAAATAGAATAAATATACTTATTTCTAAAACATTTATTTTACTGTTTTA